TATATAAGGGAGAGAAAAACCATTGTTGGTATCTCCTATCTTCAAAGTTTATGTTTCCATCTTTGAGTGAATTTCTCTCTAAACCCTAATGTTACATCAGACCTTGATGATTACATATGATATTTTTCTATTATGTAGACACTTGCGTTGCATCTAAAAATTACATTGAAAAAGTCTCACATTGCTTGTCAAACTTTTGTAATAAGAAGTCCAATCTCTAATTATCTTGCTGTAGTTTTGCTTCTGGACAAGCTTCAATTGTGCTTTTGAACCTGAGTAATTGCTTCAAGCTTGATTCTAACAATTGATGCTAAATAACGTGTAACATGTCAATAACGCGTTAGATGTAGCATAGAAAGAGAGACATTCACAAGCACGAGAGTCAAGATATCTACGCATAGAGAGTAAACTAAGATGTTGGTTAACATAGATTATTTATGAGACAAATCATCTTTCTTAATAGTATAGCTGCTAGCAAATTTCCAAAAACAGTGATTGACGCTTCCATCCTTATATGCTAGTCGCTAGCTAGCCTCTTAAAAATAAAATTTGGCTTCAGTACTTTGTTCTTAACATAATGTTCGTGTGATGCACTTTAACTGTTAAAGTCAATTTAGCTATGTACAAGCAAGTTTAACAAATATAAATTGACTTGAAGATAATGTAGAGTAACTTCTAAGAGGTAATGAATGAATAGATTTATAGTTTTCTAAGATTCAAAGATTAGATTTCATATCTCATAATCTGACAAAAATGATGAGTATCTTGTTCCATTTTATCAACATGAATGGATATCATTGTGTAGATAAAATATTCTGAGAATAATATCACTTTGTAAAGTAGATTGATTTTCTAGATGTTTTCAAAAGATGATAAATCTTGTGATCTAGTCATGATAGTCATGCGATATTGAGTGAATTTTAGATCAATTATGATACTATAGTTTATAAATCAAAATGAAGTGATATGGAGTACATCTCATTGTGAAAAGAATATGAGACACATTCTTTTCTCAATGTATTCTGATATGGCCAAAAGCCTTCTTTAAACCGTAAATTTGTATTAGAACGGTTTAGCTACCGACGACATACCACAGAATGATCAAAACGAAATGTACCAGATTTGATATCTTGGAATCAGTATTGGTGATTTGTATTGATAAATTGTTCTATTCTAGGATTTGTTGTTCGATGTGCATTCAACTACAGTACAAAACGTAGTTGCTGGATGTGAACTGCAGTTGGATAATATGAAGAGTTCACTGCACTCCTTACAAGTTTAGTTGATCTGTTATCATCGTTTCCTGGGCCCATGGTAAAATTCAAAACGTTCAGATTCAGTTTTTCCCGCCAGAAATGGAAACGGCATATGATTTATGTTTGTTAACTTTACTATCACATTATTGCAATTCTGTAAAATCGTTGGTTAAAAGGATTACTGTTCTGACTAAAGGACTATTGCGTGCGCGTATGTGACGACATGCACGGTATGGGCCAAAATGGTTCCGGGTCCGCCATTGTTTCCTGTGTGGACTCTACAAGATGACAACCATGGCCAGCTCAAAGAGGAAACCTTGGTAGTCTCCGTGCATATTTTACGGGACGGAAGGGGAAGTGGTACTGCTACCATCAGTAGTATTGATGAGGAATGGGAGAAGGGGAGAATCATCCCAGAGCCCAACGAGGGCCCTCGTGTTGGTACCGACAGGTACCAAACCTCTGTTTCGTCCGTCTGTCCGTAAAGGCTGAACAGTGCACAACACCATAGCGACCTTGGCTTTGATTTGCTTATACGGCACAATAACTGCTGCAAATAAATTGATAGATAGGCCTTGTGCAACCGTACCTGCTTCGTGTACCGCAGCAGCCAGCAGAACCGGAAGCTGCTGCTTACCCTACTTTGGTTCAGTAGAACAGTCCAGGACTAAGATGTGAAACCTCGCTGCTGCACATGAATCTACACACGTTCCTCCGACAGTCACCCATACCTGGTCAGTGTACTAGTCCACTTGAACCGGACGCCACATGCAAGAATTTCATCTACCATGTGGACCTAGTGGCGCAGAGTCGAGGAGCTACGACGCACGGTCCACCATGTCCTCCGCCCACCTGCCAAACCTTGATTGATGGATGCCTCCTCTTAGTTCCTCCCTTCTCAAGCCGTCTCAGCAGTCTCTGAAGTGTACCTTCGGCTGTACAGACGGAGTGCCCTGCACTGCACTTCACCCCCTGGAATGACCTGCCTCGCGCGCGTCACCAGGCTGCAGGCGCTCTAGAACCACTGAGGTTTTTTTTTGTCTGACAGACCCTAAGCCCTCCTTCCGAAGGATCCATGTTGAAGCCCCACCCGTGGAAGCAGTGAGTGAGGAGATCAATGTCGGTCGACAGCTGCAAGGTGTCGCACACTCGCTTCTGGTGCTGCTGCACGACATTTGATTCTCCCTTAATTGTCTTCCATCCCGCAACTGGACTGACAGAAGATCTCGAGATTTTCATCTTATTTCATTTAATCTCATCTCGTCCCAAGTCTCATCCTGTCTCCTCTCTTCTAAATCTTCGGTCATCCAGTATAACTCGGTCTTGGATTTGATGGTTATTTTTCCATCAGCTCGACCACGGGCTGCTCATTTGCTATGATTTCTCCTATGCGCACGATCTAACACATCCATTGCAGTGCAGATCTGGTCACAAACGAATGAACAAAGGAATGATTATTGGATCCATTCCGTTATAGTTCTACAGGTTTAACAAATTTATGTTACGATGTGTGAATGCTGACCACCTCGGGGAACATCATTCCCTGCATCTCATCATCAGGTCAATTTTCCGCTTCTGTCATCAGCATGCCTCTCTAAGTACGGAAATCTGTCAATGGAGTTCCGTATATTTTCACAAAGTTTCTTATTTGCAAGAAGAAATTTTTGCTTCATCTACATTGCGTAACTAGACAGCGATAAAAGTTGGACATTCTAGTTACGTTAACAACTCTTAAATAGTTATTTTGGGCTTAAAATTCACTCGCACCAATTTAATTGCAATTTTGTTCATTTGATGTTTGAGATGGATTCCACTGAACCCGGTGCAAATCTACCATGCAAAATTGGAGCCCACAAAACTCCGTTTCAATTGAAACATCGGTGACAATATGGTCTCGATATCGCAAGTTGTGATACTCAATTACTCCAAAGTGATTGTTACTCGTTGTTGATTCTGTGTTTGTTTTCGAAGTGAAGAACCTTTTAATATTTGAAGATAGTGTGTATTTGACATCCAATTGTTGACAGAAGTGGACCCAAAATCAAGATTTGAAGTTTTGCATTCAGTTGGGCAATCTTTTTCTGGAAGCAATTCACAATCTAAGCAAAGTTGAGCTGACACATGATAAGTTAAACCAGATGAGTTCCAACATCTTGGTTCCTTGCTTACCTCATGAACTTGCAGTTTTGAAAACACACTATATTGTTTAACTGGTTCTGAATGTCAAGATATTTTAGAAATTCCTCTAAAATAAAACTGCAATATCAAATATTAGAAAAAAGCAAACCGCTTTTGGTCTATGTGCACTGTGAACATCAACTTCGCAATGCCTAAAATCGTTTGATAAAGTAAAACTTATCCTTCATGCACTAAAGATAGATTTACTCAACTCATGGTGTTATTTGGAATATTAGCCTATTCATTTCCAAACACCGCATTACCATAAGAAACGATTTTTCAATGCTGAAATGGTAAAATCATCTTCACATATAAAAAAATAACACCTATATCTCTCCAAGGTGTATTACAATGATTTCAAAATTGAAGAAAATTATGCACATTCCGTATCTTGTTGTAATACGAAACGTACGGAAAGTTACCTATATATACAAAGGCCTAATGATAAGACAGCCAAATTTAATCGGCATGTGCGAATGGATCTGCCTCCCTAATCCTTTGTTCACCTGACGTAAGATCATCACTTTGGGATCTGCAAATCTACCTCTGATTACATGTTCTAATATACCTCTGCTCCCTCAAGTATACCTCTGGTGCTGCTCTAGAGCCTTTAGGACTCAATACACTAAATAATAAGGTGGAGAAAAGACCTCAAAACCTAATATAATCTTCTCCAGCTGCTGCTGACAGCCAACCCCAGCCCCGTCTGATCTTTTCCCAAATGTAATGCCTTCATAGCATTTAAACAATTTCAACGAAATTTCGAGGATAGATGAAGGGCGATATACAGACATGATAGAAAATGCCTCCAAACACGCACATCATTAGTTTCTCTCTGTAGCAACAGTACAGAGGGGAAAAAATGGCAGACCAGACTCTGTCCTGCCCATGGAGGAGACGACGAGCATTCAAATGGCATGGCATGATATTTTGTAAACTCCCCCCTCAGTTCATGTCATATGTCGTACGATGATATTTGACCAGATCACACCGGCCCAGACCCTAGATCGCTTGCTAGCTTGATAGATAGATGGCATTAAAATAAAGTTAGAAATTATTACTCTCTCAGTACCACACTGACAACCTACTCAAGAACCGTTGTTTTCAATCAAATTCCTCACGCAAAGCCAATCGTCCCCCGCCTTCATAACTTTTTACAATAATTTATGAATTATATTCGCCGCTGTTAAGATGCTCGCAGAATACACTACATTGGATGCATACCCTGAAACCCAAGTATGGGCCAAATGACATGAGGCTTCATGCACAGACCACTTGACAGTTCATTCCAGCAAACTTATAATTCTCGTCCGCCGAATTAGGTTGTAATTACGCTAGATTCCATGTGGTAGAAATTTCCCCCAACCTCAACCTCATAGATTTGGGTACAGAGATGGTGTGGGGTTCAACGAGGTACAGCAACTGTAGTTCAAGCGCGTGCAACGATTTGCAGTTGCCCAAGAGACAGACCGAGAGAAGAGGGAGAGAAATATATAGAGAGAGAGGGTTGTACTAATGGCGTGTGGGATAATAATGAGTTTGTAACAGTAATTTATAGCACCTTTTGGTCACATGTGAGTTCAGGTCTCAGCTAGCGTTTCTGTAGCCCGTGGTTAGCACATTGTTAAATTTTTTTTATTAAAATTATGTTAAAATATGGAGGGGAAGATCTGGCGGGGAATAATTCAGAATCATTGACCTTGTTGACTCCACTCTAACGCCTCGAAGTTCCCTCACGGCCAGCTCGTGGTACTAATGATTTTGCCTCCAGGCTTACCGAGAATCAACGCTCGCTCGCCCGCTCAATCTCTTGGCAGGCAGCAGCGCATCATCTCCTCTCATCTCGATTGTGTAACAGCGGGCCGATCGAGGCTTCACCTTTTCCTACCCTACTTATTTCACCCGCTTCTTATGTACCTATCTCTTCCTGTGCTGGCTTGTACTTTTCTCTTTTTTTCATGATCCTCATCATCATCTGTTCTTTCATCTCATTCAGGCACAGGCACCTGTAGACTGCTGCAAGTAAGTGAGCTAGCAAGTAAGTCTCAGGATCCCATCCCATCCCTTCCCTTCTGCAAGGCTTGTCCAGGGCACCGTGTCGTGTTGGGATCGTAAAGAATCCTGCCCCTGGTCCTGCCAGCAGCCACCTTGCGACCCTGAGGCTTGAGATCGAGACGGCGTCCAAAGGGAGCTGAACGAAATCCTCCTTGTACCAGAGGCACACTTTTGCCAGCTGCTCAGCGCAGCAGTGCTGGGCAGGCCAGGGCACAGCGGGACAGCCTGAGCTTCTTTGCTTTGAGTATTCGTAGAATCTGGAAATTTTTTGCGATTAAACAAATGGAAGGATGGAACGGACAAAGTATTGATCCATTTGTTGGTCTATTGATTGATTGTAAGAGATGAAGTGGAATTGTGCCTGTTTAAAATCTCAAATTGGAAGTCAAACTAATTTAAATGACTGAGGGATGGATTCACTAATTAACGTCAACCAACTCTGTATCAGCAGTTCTCGTTGCGATAAGACATCTATTGTGGAACAGAGCCGAGATTAATCAACGAATTCAATAAGATCATGTTGGACCCATAATGGAGACACAATTACTAGGCATATGTGATTCGACAAACTGTTACTACAGACCGTCGAATGCTCAGACCTACTCCGGCAAGCAGCAACATGACCCTAACGGTTAGGGTCATGTTGCTGCTGACAAAGGGGTTAGGGCGTAACCTCTTTGTCTTCTCATCTCATTCAACTCATTCCGCAGCGGCATGTCTTTGGATAGGCTCGTAGAACATAGTCTTTGCGCTGTGCGAGGGAGATTCTCGCAGAGCGACTTTCATCCATGGATTGTCTCTGGCTATGGTAGGGCTCCTCCCACAACCTACTTCACTACTCCATACAACCAGCAGTAGCTCCTGCTGCTGCTGCAACATGGTCGTTGTTTATTGGAATGACACCTTCAAACACGCACAATCAAGCAAGAGTCATGGCGGGCGGGAGGCCTGCACATACTGCAGTCTTTTCTGTCTCGCGGTTTCATATATTACTACCTTGTAAGTACAGTGTCGACGCAGCCATGCCACCAGTCAGCCGCCCTCCCGTCCCCTCCATTCCCCTGTTCTGATATGCTTTGCTTCCGTGGCTCAGCTCTCTGGCTCGGACTTCTGTCCTCTGCTGCCATCAGGCATGCGTTGTGCCATAAATTATGCGTTTCTTGCTTGCTTGATTGATCTACACATATAATCGCCGCAGCTGCAGTCCCGCAGTCTCCCACCGTCTTGTGTGGTTTTGTGCTTCACACATGTCACATATCCGAGGTAAGCAAATGGTGACTGTTTGCTGCCATCAGGCAAACGTCTTCTTTTGCTTGCATATCGTACAGCCACTTTCTGCCTGAGCTTCGCGATCTCCGTGAGTAGAGAGAGAGAAAAAGAAAGAATTTGTTGAAACTTGAAAACTCAAAATATGAACGGGTTGGATTCCCGAAACCATGAAGGTTACTTCCATCTTGCGTACTCGTGACGTCATGAGGATAACGGAGAGACGGCATCCCGGGAAGGATGGGCTCGTGAAGGAGCCGACTTCACATCTCTCTCTCTCTGCCTGCTGTTTCGTGTGGGATTGACAAGCTTCACACTCACCAGCATTCCCCATTGAACGCTCTCTGATCTGGCGGCCGTGGCTGAATGCTCGCGCGGTGACAAAGGGCGAGGTTGGATTGCACGTTCCTGGCGAGAACGAAAATGTTATTGAACGAGAGAAAAGGAAGACATAAAGCAGCCTACCTGAAGGAAAGAAGCTCGTTGCAATGGAATGGGATTTTGGGAGGGAATGGTTGGGCTGCAGTCACAGGCAGTCTGACCATAATACAGTGATACTTAGGACTTACTACTTCTAACGAATTTTGATTACAAACACATGTGCCAAGTTCTCAAGACAATTATATCTTCTGACTAGTTTCATAATCCAAAGTCCTACCAGTATAATATGTGGGACTCTTTGTGAGTAGGACCTGTAGTTGTGGTGGTGGTAGCCGTAGTCGTCTTGTAGATACCATGTCATGATCACACCAGGGTGGGGCAAAACTGAAGAATTCAGCTTTGGTTGAGACAAGCATGTTGAAAGTGCGCCATGTCCTCAGCCGACCACGACAGCATCATGATACTGCTGCTGCTACTCATTTATTTTCAGCTCTGACCAGAATATAATTCAATCTTTTGGTAGTTTAGAACGGGATGATGAACAGCACGGTCCCAAAAGTACGTCGAGTACATAAACACTCATGAATGAATGTCTCATGTCTCTACTATCGTCTTTAGTCCTCTCAAGTGCCCAAATCATATTCATGAGTAAAGGACGATCGAGAGGGATGGAGTGAGTTTGTATGTCTGAGGATTGGACCTATATCCGTGGTCCTTCTCCGGTGGGAGAAATTTAAGACAAAACTCGAATGTGCTGGTGGTATTGGGATGATGATCGTCCACCAATGAAAAGCCGTCGCATCTTCAGAACGAAAAGAGACGGATCATTTGCAGCAGATCCATCTGAAACTGTGTGCCAATCTTACCACTTCCGGTCATGACATTTGGATGGTTTGTCCTCGAATTGGGCTGAAATTCTCGGACAAAAACGAACGAGCGATGTCATCCTGAATCCTGATTGAGAGCTTATCCACTGGCATGAGCCTTATACATCTTACTGCATATTCTTAGTCATACAAATCTTGAAAGCCTACATCCATCAAGGACAGTACGATCCGGCCCTTCCTGTCACAGAGAACAAGTATCTATTATGATTTTATGAAGGGGTAATAGTTTTACTTCAATGTAAGCAAGATGCCTCTGGTGAAATTAACACTGTTGTGCATTGTCATACTTGTCCGATTACTATTAATCAGCATGTTATACAGGTGATGTATATAGTCATGATTCTCTATTTTCTCCAAAAGTCAACCGTCCTCATTTGAAGTACATCTCATGAGAATGTACATTGCATAAGTTTTCATTCTCATCTTTTCTTTCGCATCTTTCATCACAAGAAACGTCAATCGATCTCATCAAGAAAATATTGCACAAAAAAATTTTGCAACATTTTATTCTTCTCACAATGATACGTTTTCTCTCAACGTGTCCAAATATCTTTTAAATGAATTTTAGTATTGAAAATGAATCCTTTAGAATTAAAAAAAGTCAATTTCAAATGCAAGGCTCATTTGAACTGCTTGAAAAAACTAAAGTTTGAATGGATTATGTTTTCTTAGTATATCATGGAAAGTGCAAGTGAAAAAATTTGTGAAAATCTTATCTGTAACAGCAGAATTATACCAATGTTAACTGTAGAGTTCTGAGTCTGGTTCTTGTAATGATGGTCGTTGCTTCAAGCGCACTTTATTTGATCAATGTCTAGAGGCCTAACTGTTAAGTCTTTTATATCCACCCACCCCCACTCGCTTGCTCTAACAGTCCAGCCTCTTGCTTGATCTTCAAACCTCGTATCATCATGTGTGCCTATACCATTGGCCAAAACGACAACACAACGTATTTCAATGATGGTCCATTTCCAGACCACGATGGAAAAAATAGCAAAGTTATGAACATCAGTGAAGAACTACAACTATGATCATACAAACGCTTGTATCTACCTACCTAGTGAATTATGAATATTTTCATTGGAATATTGATGATAAAGTTACGGGTGAAAAAGATTATTTTTAATTGATAATCAATATCGTTAAATATAGGTATGAGGTTCATTTAGTTTTTCATAAATTATATATATAGAGAAGTAGATACATAATTTATATTAATAGTTTAATGTCATATATCAAAAATTGATCATTCTTTTACTTTTGTACAAATTTCATACTATTTTGACATCATCACTTCATGACTCATATCTTTCTCTTTTTTGAATAAAATTGACTGAAGTTCTTGATGAAACATAAAAGCATGCTATAAATTTAGTTCATTTAAACGTATTCAGATTGTGCTTCATAGGTTATACATAAGTATGATAGTTGTAGTTTCGGAGTTACTGCAAATGCTTTGATTTAAGCAAGTTAACAATCTCCAATACAAATATAAAACTTATGATGCTTAACCTAATAATAACTGATCTCATTTATGAATCTATTTTGGACCAAAAATTTTCTTCCATTCTTAATGTATTCTAAGATTATATCAAATGAGTATATTGGACCTGTTAAATTGTGAGAATAGATTGCATCTTCTTTTTTGACTGAAATTTTGATCTGACTTAATTTATGGATATAATCATTTTTTTATACTTAAAAAATAAATAATTATAAATTTAGATTCCAAATATTAAATAATAATTTTTTTCCTAAAAAATAGAAAATTTTATATTTACCATTAATTATAAAAAATTATGTGCAGTAAGTATCAAAATTCTGGTATTATTTAAGTTTAAGTGAAACTATAACTTGATAAAAATATTTATCAAAGCTGAAAAATTTACAAGCTATTGACAAAGACAGCAGCAGCGTCCTGCAATGGGTACCCATACCCATGGCTATCCAAAACCCATTTATACCCATGATTATATGGACGGGTAATAGGTAGGGGCTAGTACTCATGTGTGATTCGAGCTCTAACACAAGTGATTAAGTTCAGACAAGTAACTCAGCGACTTGTATTAGTAGTTAGTAGTGATAACTCTCCGGAAGCACCACGTTAATACCTATTGGTTCTCATATAGTTACCGTCACCGTCATTTTTGCTTTGTGTTGAATAGCTTTTAGCGTTAGTGTGGCAGATTCAGTTGAGCACAGTGCTATGTGTTCGACCGAAACCGTCAATCGAATTCTAAAAGCTACGAACTCATAGCTATTAAAAACTAGGTACAATTTGAGTTGACATTAGACTCAAGGTTTAGGAATTGGAATTCATATGGAAGTGTGTATCTGAAAGCTAAGAGCTGACACAGGCCATGACGTTATCTCAGTAAATTGAAAATGATTTGAAGAGCAATGAGGGAAATTACATGATTTGCAACAGCAAATCTTGCAAGAAGTCGAGTGTTTGGGAATTGTTTGGCATCATTTACGATAGCAGCAACGTAAAGCTAAATTATGTTGCGTGCAAGATTTGCAACAAAGTTTATACTTTCAAAACTAGTACCAGCACCACTACAACCTTAAAGCACAAATGTCATTTTCTTGACTTAGAGCTAACGGCCGTGAAGATGTTCTTTAAGAAGCATATTGTCACAAAGCAACCCAAAAAAAAAATGACAGCAGCGGGTGACTATTGCGCAATCGACATGAATCTCTGAGTTGATTTAGGCTCAAAGCGCTCATCCAGACAGCGCTTGACATCGGATTGAGTCACAATTGATGAACTACTCGCTAACCCGACAACTGTTAGCCATAACGTCAAATCACGAGCTCAGAACGACCACAAGAAGCTCATTCTTGTTCTCAAGAATCACTTTAATTTGGACTTGAACAAGGCATGTACTCTTGACTTGTGGATGGATGTGGTCAAAAAAACTCGTGCATGTCCATCACTATTTATAACATCGATGAGCTGTTCAATCTCTACGCTGTACGCTACATGTAAAGCTTGTTGAAGAAGCTAGCCACACGGCGGAGATAATTCTGGATGAATTCAATAAAGATCTGGCCGTGTTTAAGTTAATGGCGGATATGTATCGATAGATAATTGTGGTCTCCAATAGCGGTTTAAATTGTTTTGGCGCTAATGACATCCCATTGGTTTTCGAATGGCTTGTCTGTATCAATCACAAATCGGTGACCGTGCTGACAACGGTTGTGAACAAAACGATCAAGATAGAAAATGCCGTCAAAAGCAAACCGTTCCACAGATACAAAGACGTTCAACACATGCTACACTTGTTTATGCTAATCGATGCCCTTGTTTATGCTAATCGATGCGTGCAAGAGCGCAAATCGACAAATTTAGGTTAACAAAATGCTTCAAACAGGAGAATGCAACTTGATGAAACTCTTTGCTCCGTTGCCTTATCAACATTAAGGAAATGTATGACGAGCTTGTACCGCCTCCTCAAATGAAAGACAAGCTGAGGAAGCTCAATGACATTCCGGGGGCGCTCCTCAAGCAACTGATCAATTTCCTTGCTTCCTTCCAACTAGCGACGCTGGTGTTCGAGAGGTACAAGCATCCGACTCTTCATAAGGTCGTGTAGTGGCGCCATGTGATCATGAATCACCTTCAGCTGATCTTGAACGATGTGGTGGACGAGAATGGTATTGTGACTACGGCCGAAGAATCCGACTCAATCAAGGACATCATGCTTCCCCTCTTGTACAGAAAGTTTGTCCTTGACGATATTCAAGTTATGGCCGAAGAATCCGACTCAATCAAGGCAATCAAGGGCATCATGCTTCCCCTCTTGTACAGAAAGTTTGTCCTTGACGATATTCAAGTTATGGCGTCATTGCTAGATCGGATCATGAAATTCTGTCTTGTAGGTCTTGGTGTTGATCGCAACCAGATCGAACAAGCCAAGAGTAAGCTCAAGAATGCAATGATGAAGTACACGCTCTTGAAAAACAAAGAAGAAGACGTTTTGACTCTTCAATCCCATGTCAGAAAGAAGTCACTCTCGTTGATTTTGATGTACGATAACACATGACGAGGAAAGGCAATGAGGACGATGAGAAAGGCAACGTTTTTCCTGCTGGAGGTCACTACATTTTAGCTGCACTCAACGCAAGAGTAGACAAGGAGTACGAGGTGCACATGAAACACAACGTAACTGATGGAAAGATGAAGCAAGGCGTTGAAACTGAAATTAGTGATGAATTCCACGTTTTGTCGTGGTGTAGACGCAAGGGCAAGCAAATGTTTCCGATATTGGCACGAGTCGTGCAATCTACTCTGTGCATCCCGGCCTCTAGTGCCATGTCCGAAAACAATTTCTTGGACGCTGGCAACATCCTGACCAAGAAATGCAATCGCCTGAAGCCCCGAACTGTAAACAATCTCATGTTTCTGCGCTCTAGTATATTGAATTACGAGATTGTAAAGCCATGAGCAACACAAGCTATTTGGAGCTGGTGATGGCAAGTTCGTACTGCATTTCTTCCTTTGGCTTATGATCTTAAGTTCACACGGTTGTTTTCCATATCAGATTGTCCACTTTATCAGATGTCGTGCTTGTTGTTTTCCATATCAGACTATCAACTTTATCGATAAAGATTTTTTAATTGACTCCAGCTCGCAACACATTTGCTCTGGTCAGCATGAGAAGTCCCCTTGGTTGCAAATTGAAATTCAGTTTGGCCATCTTGACCCGTCGCATGTTCATGCTCGTTCCGGTGAGGAAGAAGAGCTTGATTCATTTCAAATCCTGCTCAACAAAACTGAAAAATTATCTCGGTTGCAAGTGCCGTTGTTCGTGGGTGCCTGATAGTTTCTCAAAGATCAACTGAACTCGAAATCAATAATGCACTTCAAAACTTGATTTGCACAATAAGCCTAACGGAGCAATTTCCCAAACTACAAATTGTTGGCCAGGCTTTGGATCGTAACCCAAGCTCTGCAAGCTTAAACCATCGATCGCAAAGGTACACAGCGAGTGACCCAGCTTGCTGAAAGCTTTGGATGTCGAATCCAAGCTCTCGGGCTTGGATTCAACAAGTTGAAGCGCAATTTGGCGTGCTCAGTGCTAGAGCTGTCAGAAAAAACAGTGAAATTTTGGTGGATATATCGAATGCAACTGATAGCAGTCAGCAGATTTAAGCATCCCTCATTCCTTTATACTGGACCTGGATGGGCAGCAACTCGAACGTGGTAGTGAGAGAAACGGATTGTGAAGGAGGTCTGGATACTTCGAGTTCGAACGTTTACGCATGTCAGACAGAAGCTGGTATCAGCAGTTTGCCACATGACGTGATGTTCAACATCGTGAGTCGCCTGGGGATCGTGTATCTCATCCAAAGCCGACTGGTGTGGAGGACGTGGAAATTTCAGCTTTATGAACTGAAACTGGAAGGTTGCATGGGTTGGGTGGGGTATGTATATAATTTTCAAGTCCAATGTAGTACTCTGATAGACAATAAAATTATTATTATAAATATTTTTCTAAAAAAGAAATTTAACAAAATAATTGACTACTTTAATCATTATGTTGATATATAGTAGAAATGAAAATATTTATTATAATATTCAAAAAAATTTGAATTTTTTTAATAAATTGGAAAAAAGCTGAAAGTAGTTGATTCTTGAAATAAAATACTTGAATACAAAATTTTAATAGATTATATTCAATACAAAACAATATATATATATATATATATATCTCAAATCAATTTATTTATCTATCTTGAGTATAAATTCAAATTAGTTATATTATGATATAATTAATTTCAATAAGATATTTTTCAAAACATCAGATTTTTTTTTTATAATTGTTTTACTTACGCAATTCTTTCAATTAAATTAAATTTATTAAATCAATATTTAATTTCTATGTCGATTAAATGTTCGTTTTTTTAATAATTTATGAGGAAATTCATCTTAATTTTTTTATCATCATCTAAAAAATATTAATATCAAAGTCCTATATTTACAAAAATTAAACACATATGATGTTTAAAGCAAATGACATGTTTATGATTTTTTAACTTCTAGATTGAACTTGTCTACAATCACATATATAAATAAATACATAATTTTCTAAAATAATCACTCACAAAATGAAAACCATATTATTATATTTCAATTGCAAATTGCAATTTTGACAATCAAAATTTCAAAGAGTCATTCTCGTTATTATATTCAATTGCAAAAAAATATATTGAAGTTATTCTCATAATGTTATTTCAATGCAAATAATTTGATCTAGCTTATGAATTTCCTTTACTCTTTAACCTCTTGAAAATTCACAATTTAGGTTGTAATAATTGTTTAAACACTAGCTTCAAACTGGCTGATTTTATCTTCTCTTTATCTTTTGAACATTTGTAATATGTAGTCACATAATTTTTAATAATTAAATAAAATTTATTATTATTATTACTTTCAGTTTTAAATTTGACCTAAATAGTATTGGTGTTGTAAATAAATCTCTAATCTAGTGAAAAATAAAATTGGATAATAAGATGGATTTGGCACTTTGTGTGTGTAAAGAAACTAATTATGAAATGTGGAATATAAAAAGAAAATGTATTGAGTTCACACATTGGACAAAGTCTCAATTGTTTGACACTATGTGTAAAGTACTTTGTTAATTGTTACATCCGTGCTTACAAAAGAGATCAATCCCGTAATTCATCTTGAAGATGTTGGGTTGCATCACGATCATATAATACACACATTGATAGTTGATTTCAAAGCCAACATGAACTCACAAAAGATTTCGCAAGATTGTAAGAACAAATTGTATTTTTTTGCATGACAATGAAACTTAATGTTAATAAATTTTTGCAAAAAGTTTGAAAAAAAATATATAGCGAAAACGAAATATAATGTAATGAAAATTTACATAAAATCTTGACATGCCATGCTTCTTGCGAAGTGCTTAGAGTCAAATTTTTGAACTAATTGTGATGACCAAGATCTTGATGATACAAATATTCAAAGTTCATTTGAGATCATTAAATGATTTGATTCTAATAAAAAATTTGTACCAAGTAAACATGATCGAATATACTTTTCAAAAACACAACATAAACACGTTGAATCAATTTTTTGCTCCAAAGCAAACGATTTATGCAGTTGTGCATAAACTCTTGATAATGAAAACGTTGATGATTGGCAAGAGATTGATTTATATATAAAAAAAAAAACTTTGCACAACATATGCAGGGATTGAATGTGCTATTGCAATCTAATAAAATTGTTTTTATGAATTTTTTTATCTGTTTCAATTCATATGTAAGTCAGCTTGGAATGATGATGATAACAAACTATCAAAAGATTATTAACAAGTAGAATGCAATGATTTGGCAACTGTTGTTCAATAATTTCCTATGATGCAATCAAAATCTATTTAAGTATGATGCTGAACAAATCCCAAGGAGAAATTTGAACGTAATTTCATAAGAGAAATTGAATTAGATTCTGCTTTTTAGAACTAAACCTTGTGCATGATGAAGCTGAAAAAAAAAATGCAATTGTGTCTAGTAAAACAATTATCACGTCGCTTTTTTTCCAATCTCCTATGTACTTTGGAAAAAATATATCATAAAATTTGATTTTCAAACTTATATTTACTTAGAGTTCAGCTGTAAGCTATGATTTTTTGGTGGCTCATCATATTTCTAGAGATGGATATGATGTACATGTCAGTGTGTGAACATCTTTTCACAAAATTTTTCCATTTATCAGTAAACATCAACTCTCATTGACACTCCAAAATAATCAGCAAATCTTAAACTTTCATCACAAAATTTTCTACAAACTTGCTTGAAAGTTTGTTTTTATTTTCTCTCTTTATACTCCTAAAAATTAACACGGTACGTCACGGTAACAACTACTGAATTAAATTTCACTTGGACTAATCTTGATAAGATTAATTCCTATGAAAAATATATTATACCATGGCAACATATCACTGAGTTACATGAACTTTTCAAGAGTTTTTTGTCTTTGAGTTGAGATGACAGCATGTCATTAGATACGTTGAAATTTTAAGAACTTTAAGTTGGCATAAATTCAAACTTTGAACTTAGTCTTATAAAAATTCTATAACTTCTTTAAACCAATAAAAACTCTCATGTAATCAATTGTTTCTCTTATTGGAATCTGAATTTTGAAAGTATACTTAATAATTGTATGTATATATATATATATATATACCATTATCTTTACATATAATAATTTTTATTTAAAATAAATCTAATTTTACTGCCAAACATGAACTTGATAGCTAGACTTAACCCAATTGAGTCAAGTATAAATTAAACCATTATAAGCTTTATATACATTCAATACACTCACACAATTACATGTATAGCATTTTCTCCATATCAAAATTTCACTATGTAGACTAAGTGGAAAAATCTAATCTTTGATGGAATAGCTTCATGCAATTGTGGTTGATTTGATCAAAGAATAGTTCTTTTAACTCCTTGATGTCATGTAAATAAATATTTCCTATATTTTTTCAACTAAAAAATAATCAAATAATTGAATATATATATATATATATATATATATATATATTTAAGCCACTTTGTATTAATATGCAAAAAATCCTTGTACAATTAATATTCTAGAATGACTTTAAGTTTCAAATTGATTGTTGTGATACATATCTTACAACCATTGATACAACTTACTCTTATCAAAACCATAGTTTGAGATTTTTCTAACTTCATACATTGTTGTTGAAAACTTGATGACTTTCATTTCACCTGTTTTCTTCATTGTTTGTTGGATTGTCATGAAGATAATCAAGTTATATTTTATGAGAATTTTTTATTCAACTTCATAGAGCTTTAAAAAAAGTGAATACCTTGTAAATGTATTTCAAGTTGTTCAATATTCTCACAAAGTAATGTGTAGACTCTTGTTTTAAAACTGATTGTTTTTGTATTTTACCAGCATTATACAAAGTGTATAGTTGATAATTTCCGCCAATCCATTAGCATTGATTGTAAAATGGTCATCCATGTTACGAGGTAACTTAAATTTTCTTGTAATTCAAGTTAACCTAGTTAAAATTCAAATAAATAGATCCCAAATTTCAAAATCTTATAACACTATCACTATATAAAAGAGTCAGCAAAAGATCTTGATGAAATTTGTAAATTTGTTACTATACTACGAGTTGTTTTTGTACACTTATCTTGTATGATAAAATCAAATAATGTATATGTCTAACGTTATTATGCATCAATAAAGTGTATATGTATCTTAATTGCATGTAAAAAAAATTTAATATCAATTTTAGAAAAATAATATATTAACTGGTTTTGTGGATGACAAAATATGGACAATGAGAAAACTAACAATCTTTGAAAGTCATAGTTTTTGCTACTACACTGCATTCAAGCTTTTGTAGTCATTGTTTAGGTGCATGTTTGATTCAAATTTTCAATAGATCTTGCTTTCTTTCTTTGATTTTCTATATGACTTTTTTTTCTATATTAACAAAAACAAGATGAGATGCTAGATGTTTTTTTGAAGATAGAAGAGAGTTAGATTCAGCAATTAATTTAATTGATTGTGATCTAGATAATCAAT